ACAATGAATGCTTTAGCCATTATAGTTTTTATTTAAGATTGATTTACACAGGATAATGCAAAAATGTCTTGCTTTTAGAGAGTTGAAGTACTTGCTGAGCTAAGCACAAATCCACTGACGTTTTTCAATTTGGCTACAGCTTAAGCTTTTCTTAACATCCTTTCTTTAGTTGTAGGAGTTTCTTTTTGTATTGATTTTCAATGAATCTAGAACAGAATTTCAGATCTTCATTGTTTTTGATAAACAGACATATTCTGGACAGTTACAATATAGATCCATTAAAAAATTATAATCTGCAGCTTTTTCTTGGTCCAGTGTTTGCATTGTGCAGACCTTTTATAATGTATTCCTATGAGATAAAAGGAATAACCCCTAGTGCAGGGGTCTCAAACTCAAATTGGCCTGAAACCTACTCTCTTCTTATCAATCATTTGGGCACATTTGCAGGGAACTTTGACCTTTCCATTATTTTGCGCCAAACAACATACATGTTAATAAAATAAAATTGTGTTTTTATTTTGATTGTACATGAAGGGGTAGTTTAAATTGATATGAAACAAAAATAATACATTTGATATTATGTGGAAGGAAAGGGATTGAGGGCCAGTTTGAGATGCCTGCTCTAGTGACTAACAATTAAATATAGTATGATACATAATTGGCTGTATCTCAAAAACTACAAGGAGTTATATCAAATGCTTGGTAACATCAGATTCAGAAAAACAATTTCAGGCCATTTCAGTAATTTGTGGTTCGATCCAGTGTAATTATTATTTAATATAATATTCAACATGTGAAATTAATGTTGTATTATTGTTTCACTTTTGTTTTAGATTATTTTTTGGACTTTGATTGCCTTTATTTGATAGTGACAGCTGTAGAGAGACAAGGAGGTGGGGCAATAGAGCTTGGGATGGCATTCTGCAAAGGGGCACAGGTTGGAATCAAACCTGTGATGCTGGGGAAAGGACTTTGTACTTGCACTGTAAAACCTGATGAGTTAGTTCAACTCAAACTGAGGAAACCGATTGCCTTAAACATTTTAAATGTATTAACTCCAACAATTTAAGCATGAACAAATATTTGATGTGAGTACAACTAACTCATTTATTGTTAAGGTAAATAAGATAGATTAAGTTAATTGTACTTTAAACTACTAAGCATATTACACTCATGCAGCATTTCTCTAAATTTATTAAAAATGTGTTAACAGGATTTATCTGAATAAAGTAACACATACTTAAATACGTCTTCTTTGTACAAATGTTACCACTTAAATAGAAATTACTCAGTTTTCTTCCCTTAAAGCAAATTATTTAAATTAAAAGGAGTCAATGGAACTAACTGGAATTATATCACCAATACTTAAACTCCTGCACAAATGTAAATGCACTCAAAACAACTGAGCTAAACAAAGATTGGTAAACAAAGTTTGTTTTCTTTTAAAGGACCAGTGTGTAGGATTTAGTAGATTTAGCAGAAAGCAACTAACTGAATACTACTTGTATCTGTATTTGAGAACAGGCTGTGAAGTGTGTAGGAGAAACTATGGTGACCACAAAAAACGCATGTGTGTTTGGTTTGTCCATTCTGGGCTACTGTAGAAACAGGTAACCAAAACCCAATTCCAAAATGAGGTGTTTATACACTAATGAAAACATACCTAGAAATATTATATTCAATTTCTTCCAATAGATCCTCCTAAATGTTACACATTTATGGGTTAAAGCTGACGCCTTCTTCTGGTCTGACATGACATCTCATCAATATACCACCATGTCTAGCTTTAAGTATTGATCAATATCTCTATATTTTTAGGAGCACTTTGCTGATGCCTGGAGATTACAACCCATTTGATTGGACTAGAGGGGAGCTGCTACAGTACATTACAGCGGGCTGTGTAGAGCAACAGGCAGAGCCACTGATCCTCATTTTGCACATCCCTTGATATCAATTTTCCTGGTGCTACCCTCTTCACTATTCATAAAAGCAGGTGTGTAACCAGAGAAATCCATTTGTCGGCCTTTAATTGACCACGCTGAATGCAGCAGGCCATTTCAGACAGCTGTAAACTTTTAATGTCCTCTTGCTACTTATTAACTTTGTATCTGGTTGTATAGTGATTTATGCAATTGTAATAATAAAACCTCTGGGACTGTAGTTGAGATAGCAGAGGTACTGTGTGAATGCTGCAACTTAATGCATGGCTGTGTGCCATGTTCAGAGAGCTAGAAGCATTCCTGTGTGGCTGTGAAAGCCTTATGTAAATTATAGGTGCAGCACGCTGTACCTCACGTCCATGCATATGCATCCACACACTTACACGCACTTTGTGCAAGCGCCGTCTCCACCCCTACGATTTGTCAAGGACAGCAGAGGTTTCCATTAACTGAGCATTCGCCCCTCCTCACCCATGCCTCTCTACTCCACAAACCCTGCCTTTGTCTTCATTAGGCCCCCGTGACAAGCTCCCACCATGCCTCAAAGTGGGCCATTACCGGCCCCCAGAACACCACAGGGCTCTGCGCTGGGCACTAATAGCTATCTCCAGTAGCTACTCCCCTGTACTCCACTGGAGGCCAGGAGGTGGCTGAAGAGTTTAGTACAGTAGATAGTAGGATGAGGTTGTTAAGTTGTCTCATAAAAGCCTTTTATATGTACCTATCCACACGTCAGCCACTCCCTGTCCTATTGTACGCACGTAAGATCTTATTTGGCACCTGCAATGTGTGGAGGCTGGCCAATCTGGTCACTGTCTTGTCAAAGAGAGAAGGAGTAGTGCGAAGGGGGGAATAAGTTGCTGTATAAAGAGGTTTGTGTACTCCAGCAGTGCATTCAGATGGCAATGACAAAGCTGCAGGAAGTAAGTCATTTTCAATAGGAGTCACCGACACACAGTCACACACAATTCTGTGATACAGCGATGCGTCACAGCATGCGGGACTGAAAAACAGCGTATTAAAAAAACACTTTTCATGCTGTATGCAGTGAAACATCAATTATAATCACAATAGTAGGAGCTGTTTTTGTTCTCCTTCCCCTGAAGGTGCTTTCAACTCTTATTTCAATACAACTGAATATATTGATGCATCCCAAAATCTCATTTTACAAACAAGCAATGACACAATGATTTATAGCTAGCTTCAAGGTCCAGTGTGTTAGGATCTATTGTCAGAAATGGAATATAATATTCATAGGAATGTTTTCATTAGCGTATAATCACCTGAATACAAGAATTGTTGTGTTTTTATTACCTTAGGATGAGCTGTTTATCTACAGATGCTGCCTTCCACGGAGTCTGCCATGTTGAACTGACATGTTTCTACAGTAGTCCAGAAGGGACAAATTAAACACAGCTGCAGATAGGGCCCATTTTTTGTGACCACCGTAGTTTCTCCCACACACTTCACAGTCTGTTCTCATTGTGTGTTGATAGTGTAGATGCTGCAAAATCACACTTGTGAATGAAGTGGTGGAATGTAGTAACTACATACTACAGTCTTGAGAACAGCCTAAGGTATGTCCCACATGTCTGTTTTAGGCTACCTTATACTTTTACACCACTACATTTCAGTGGGAATTGTTGTACTTTTTACTTCACTCTGTGACAGCTAGGCCAACTAGTTGTTTAAAGTTTTACAGACAAAATACAATGTCAGCCTTTCATACATTATTATAGATTAAATAGATGTTTAAATTAGCCTCACTTTGACCAGCTACAATACTGCTTATATTAAGTTTTATAACTAGCTTCGGTAACAAAGACCACGCCTCGCCTCGCACTCATTTCCACTCAAAATGTACTAGTGCACACCTTATCTGCTCACCTCTTTCACTCAGTTTTCACATCCCTACCCCCAAACCCTTTCTTTCCTCCCCTCCTTATTCAAATACAGGAACCACTGGGGCTCTAAAGAAGAGATCAGAAGAGACAGACAGCTTCCCCACTCAGTCTCATCACCCACTCGGTTCTCTCCCACCATCCGTCCATCCATTCATCCATGCATTCACAAACCTGATTTCTCCCCCATCCATTCATCCCTCACCCTTCCTTCCCATACACCTTTACCCCTTAACCCTTGAGCCTTACCCCTCATCCCTCCATCCCTCTTACAGTTTATCATATTGGTTCACATTTATGCATAATGTACAACAAACCATTCTAATTCCATACATTCATTGGTGTGGTCTTTGTTAGTGAATGTTATATTATAATAAAACATTGATGGGGCCATCCTGAAAGCAGGACTTTTGCATGTAGAGTTGTCAGGAAAGAAATAGGTTTTCATCTCTGCATTGGCTCCCTGTAAAATGTAGAATAGAATTAAAAATCCTCCTCCTCACCTATAAAGCTCTTCATGGTCAGGCCCCTTCATATCTTAAAGAGCTCATAGTACCCTATTACCCCTCTAGAACACTACGTTCTCTGAATGCTGGGCTACTTGTGGTTCCTATAGTCTCTAAAAGTAGAACAGGAGCCAGAGCCTTCAGTTACCAAGCTCCTCTCCTGTGGAACCAGCTTCCAGTTGTGGTTCTGGAGGCAGACACCCTCACCACATTTAAGAGTAGGCTTAAGACATTCCTCTTTGATAAAGCTTATAGTTAGGGCTGGATCAGGTGAGTCCTGAACCATCCCTTAGTTATGCTGCTATAGGCCTAGACTATCGGGGGATTTCCCATGGTGCACTGAGCTCCTCTCTTCCTCTCTCTTTCTGCACTCATTCATGTTCCATTAATGCATGTTACTAACTTCACGTCTTCCCCGGAGTTCTTGTGCTTTCTCGTCTCGCAGGTTCTTGTCGATCCTGGTGGAGCCTCCTGCCATGGTCCTGCTAGATTGCCATTACCAATACTGTTGTTGCTGTGCACCTGTCTGTCTGTCTGTCTCTCTCTCTCTCTCTCTCTCTCTGTCTCTCTCTCCCTCTCCCTCTCTCTCGCTCTCTCTCTCTCTCTCTCGCTCTCTCTCTCTCTCTCTCACCCCAACTGGTCGAGACACCCACCTAGAGCCGAAGGATCTGTCCTAGGTTTCTGCCTTTTAACAGGCAGTTTTTCCTTGCCCCTGTCGCCAAGTGCTTGCTCATAAATAAATAATGTTATAAGGAGTTCGGTCTAGACCTGCTCTATTTGAAAAGTGTCCTGACATAACTTCTGTTATGAATTGGTGCTATACAAATAAAATTGAATTGAATTGAATCATACAATTTCAGTTTCAGAGTCGATATTATAGGACAGTTTATATGATTCTTATACATTCATTACATTTTCTTGTAGTAATCTTTTTTTTTAAATATCCTACAGTATAAAGGAACATTTCCCATTGCTGCCTACTTGCTGATATTGCTAACTTCCTCTCTGCTTGAGTCAGACCTTGTGTTTCTTCTCTCTACGTAAGTCTTCTCCTTGTCTCAGCGGCTTTATCTCAACCTGTCAGCCCCTCCACTTCCAGCCTGGATAGATAGCAACATCACATCCAGCCCTCTTCTTTGACAAATATCAATGATTGAGAGAGATGTTTTTGCGTCTGATATATCTCACAATGTGCTGTCAGAGTGGAGCATCTGACTGAGATAACCCAGGTTGTGCAGAAACATCAGCGTGCATGAGAGATTGGTTTTGTATTTGGGTTGTGAGAGAGCAAGTATGACAGAGAATGATAGACTGAAGCAGTGATACTGTAGGAGCAGTAAGAGATATCTGTCTGCACCCGGGCTGATGGGTAGTAGGTAGTGAGAGTTGTCCTGCCCTGAGCTGTCCACATGAACAGCACTAGTTGATGACTGATACAACAAACTTGAGCATGAATTCACCAACAGCTGAATGCATAGTCTTATTTGGCTCTGCATCCCCTGGAACCTGATATTCTTTGTATTAAACAGCGAGACAGAAACATGTCCTTATGGCGTGATGCTATCACTCCTTGATATTAATCCTTTAGTGTAAGAGATGCATTTTGCTGTGCAAACATAAAAAGGTCCATTGTTTTCTGCCTACAGCTTCTGTATTGTGAGGTTTTGGTACTTTTTTTCTGTCATAGTAAATGTAAGTTTGGAGCTGTTAGTTTCAGTATATATTTAAATCAGTGTCTAATATCTATAGCGTACTTCTGTTGAATCTCTAACCTTGCAAAGCAGCTGGACTCGGAAGACCACAAATTCCACAAGATCACATGAAAATCCATCCTGCCAGGCTTCAGTCTGTGCATGTGTGGCCAGTACCAAACCAATCAGCGTCCTCTGAGGAAGTACTGGCAGCTACAGGGGTGGACGCCAGGTGTGTCGCAGCAAGAAGACACTGTGCATTATACAACAATGGTGGCTGCTAAAGAAGCTAGCGTAGATGCTGCTAGTGTCAGTTATATCAGAAGATGAACACAGAACGGCACTGAAGGCTGTACTTGATGGAAAAGATATCTTTGCTTTTCTCCTGCTTGGCTTCAGTAAGAGTTTGCCTATTTTATATAGTTTGCTGATTTTAGTTTTGCCTGAGACAGATGCCTGTCCAGGCTAACTAACCTGCTAGCCCTCCTTCCATCAAATCCCGACAGAAACCCAACTCACAAAGCTGAACACAAATTTTACAGTCTGACTATTTTGTGGACTTTCTGTGACATCTAGTGGCAAATAATAATTTCTGAATTCAATATGGAAATGAGTGTCCCACACATCCTTCATCAAAGGCAAATCAGGGCCCAGCCTCTCATAAAATAGCACCTTAATATTAATAATACATTATTTCTGTAGTCTTTTTGTTTTGGTACATAATGTTATTCTATTTACTGTGACCACTTCCTATAACTCTGTGTTCCTACGGGTATTGATGGTGTTCATGTGGTACTTAGTGAAAGGTTTATAGGGATATTATTATATTTTATGGCAGCTAGTATACAATTTTCAACGACAAATCACTTCCCTCTGGAGAGTTAAGGTAAAACAAGGCTCCTGTAACGGCTTCATTAAGACAAATCATGGCCCAGCTGCAATAATCATCTTTATGTTCGCCGTACAATGCCTTTCTTAAATGTGTCATAAACTTGCAGTAGCTCTTCTTTGGTTAGTTAGCAGACTGTTTCATTTCCTCCCCCCTCACTTCAGAAAGGTGTTTCTCTCTGTCTGGCTGTCTTCGCTGATTCAATATTCAAGTCAATCAGTGGCTCAAAATTGTCAAAAATTGACTCGCGCAAAAATCTGATCTGCTTGTTCAACCATGGTATTGCAGCTTTCACGGGGCTATAACGCACTGGCTTGTCGGTCGGTGTTGTCTTGGCCTTGTTGCTGATCCCCAGAGTCTATTTGCATAATACTGGTGATATGGTCCCGGCTCACCTGATTCCCACAATTCCCTCCTACTGAATTTGTTTTCACCACAGATGTAGGGAGGGAGATTGAGAGCAGATTGAGAAAAACACTGTTCGAAAACACAGCGTATGGGGAGCTGCATGACCTTGGAGCACTGTAGAGCTGTGTGTGTGTGTGTGTGTGTGTGTGTGTGTGTGGGGGGGGGTCGTGCAGCAGTAGCAGTGACACTGCTATTATTGGCTGTGATGCTCCCATACAGCGGGATGACGGGTTGAGTGATGCCGTGCTGTCACACAGTCCTGTAAAGAGAAATGTAGTAGAGGATAAACCGGAGAAACTCGACACATTTATTATCACTGTGTGAGGAAGTCACAACATCTATAGTTATATTTATTTATTTATTTATTTATTTATTTATTTATTTATTTTATACTCACCGGGGACAATGCACATTAATCAGCATTGCGGTTTACACTTCAATGTCAATGTGTTGGAGTTAGCTCATAAGCAAATTTTTTATTCGTAGTCCTATATGGTGTCACGCTTCTAAAGTGAGGGAGTAAGGAGTTAATTAGCGCCGGTATAATGATGACCACTGGTGTACACACCTTCACACATCACTGAGTGGTATCAAGTGTGGGAATTTAATGGTTTGTGTGCATTTGTGAGGTTGCACATGCAATGTTTCTCACAGGTCTGGGTTAAATGTTAATGTTTTCTTTCTCTTGCCTGGTCGGGCAAGTGGATCATAAATCTGCTTGCCGCTACACAAATTGTTTTATTTATTAGTTATCAATGATCCTCTTAGCTGCCATGCAAGCGAGATGCTGTCAGCTCGTTTTTTCTGCAATATATCGTTGGAGTTTAGCGGACATCCTCCAACCTCCAACTGAACAGTTTTTTGCGTTTTGAATATTGAATATTTCTGCATACTGGGTTCCATAAACAGTATTGGAATTTCATAAACTGGGAATGACTGGAAAGCTGAGACACATACTTCATGCCACCCCTGCATAAGTCAGTCCCCCCCTTGTGCCACCACAGTCAAAAAATGGAAACGCCCCTGCCCTGATCAAATGAGGTACAAAAAGTGTATGTGAGGGAAGAAAATCATTTTCTGATTACAGTTTCTTACTTAATAAATTCTTATTTATCTGTCTAGCTGAACACATTTTTTTGATCGAATTTTAGAAATATACATAATTCAAGGTCACCATAAAATATGAAACTGCCTTCCCCTTTCCCAACTATCTATCTCCTACTCCATCCCACCACCCAGTCCCACCGACAGTCCCACCCCAGCAGGTTTCAGCTGACTTCAACTGACTAGAATTATAGTCAAGTGCAAAGGAGAAACTGTGGTGGCTGTGAATAGTGTGAAAAACACGAACAGCCCTATCTAGAGGCAATGTTTGGTTTGTCCCTTCTGGGCAATTATACACATGGCGGACTCCATGGAGTCCAGATTACATGGGTTTCAACTATCTGAATTTTTATGATTCAGAATAAACTTTGTTAGCCTGTTTTCAAAGTTGTATTTCCATGTTTGGATTAGTTTGGCTTCATATGATGTTGATTCCTCTTCATTAGACTGTTTTAAGAGTTGTAATTCCATGTCTGGATTAATCCGAGTGGGTATAATGTTAAATCTTCTTCATTAGTATGTTTTAACCTAGTATTTCCTTACCTGGATTCAGTCTAAATCTTTGGATTCTGATCCATCTTTTTAATTCTTGTTGTCTAGATTTACTTTTAATGTCAAATGGTATACTCTTATTCTATCCTAAAATCCTATCTGGATTTATTCTGAATTTTAGGACACATTATCAGTAGCATACCCCGGGATCATCGGCCATTACCGCTAGACACCCTCATTTAAGAGTGACCCCCCACAGGTTGATCAAGCCCGGAAGTATGTCCCATAGCTAATTGGGTTTTGTTTTGTTGTTTTAGGATCCTAAAATTGAAATTTTGGCACTCTATCTGAGGATATCTTTGAAATAGTTTTATGGAAAGCAGTAAACTGGTCTTATTTTTAAGCTCAATTCTCTGTCTGAGATTTTCCTTAAAATTGTTTTAGATTGTTTTATGGATAATGGTAAATTTGCTTTGGATGGTGTTGCATGGTGTAGTCTGTGCTGAAGATATGACTGGGGTCCACATTTAATGAACTTCTTCCCCCTTAGGGTAAATTTGATCTTTTCTGTGCATTTATAGTTGTTGTGTGTTGTGTATCACACAGCGGGCGGCTGTGGCTCAGAGGCAGAGCAGGTTGTCCACTAATCAGAAGGTTGTTGGTTCGGTCCTCGGCTCCTCCTGCCACATGTCGAAGTATCCTTGAGCAAGATACTGAACCCCAAATTGCTCCAGATGCTGTGTGAATGTGTGTGAAAGGGTGAATGTGGCACGTAGTGTAAAAGCGCTTTGAGTGGTTGGAAGACTAGAAAGGTGCTATACAAGTACAGGTCCATTTACCATTTACCATGTTGTTGTGTATTTGATCATCCCAAAGTATGAATCTTAAATTAGCAGTTTGATCTGATACTGCATAAAGGAGGGGCTGGGAGACCATGTTACTGAATCGACACTCTATATCAGTGATGGCTGTCGCAATGTAGAGCTATTTAACACTTATTTTAACAAAAAGATATCACTTACGGCATATTTAATGTGCGTTACCCCTACCTACAACGCTGATCAGTCAGTGGGAGGGTATATAAGGGGGAGTTGTGTTTGATGGCTGTCATTCTGTCTCACAGTGTCTCAATAAATGTCCATTCAAGGGCTGCGCCTCCTCACTCTTCCACATTTAAAGGC